GTTGGGGAGAGCATCTGGGGCTGGGGATTGGTGTCTGGGTGCAGGAACAGGGTTTGGGATGCAGGGCAGATTAGAGGTGCATGGCAGATTTGGGGGTGCAGGACAGGGTTTGGGGGTGCAGGACAGGGTTTGGGGGTGCAGGGCAGATCTGGGGGTGCATCTCGGGGCTCTCACGAGCAGGACGTGGGTGCTCTGGTTGAAGATTCCCGTGTAGCCCCGGATCACGTCCCCGTGGAACGCCGGGTTCAGGAGGTGCCGGTGCCGCACCCACCTGTGCCCCCCGCTCAGCAGCAGCCCCTCACCTGGGGAGGGGGGACACCAGGGGGCTGTAACCCATCCCTGCTGCCCCCTCACCTGGGGAGGGGGGACACACCAGGGGGCTTTAACCCATCCCTGCTGCCCCCTCACCTGAGGGGGACACACCAGGGGGCTGTAACCCATCCCTGCTGCCCCCTCACCTGAGGGGGAACACCCAGATCCATCTGGGATCACCCAGGGGGGCTGCCCCCTCCACTATGAGACCCCCAGATCCATCCATGACCACTCAGGGGTGCTACTCCCTGTCCCTGTGAGACCCCCAGATCTATCCACGACCACCCAGGGGGGCTGCCCCCATTCCCTATGAGACCCCTGACTCAATCCAGGGGACACCTAGGGGTGCTGCCCCCTCCCCTGAGACACCCAACTCCACCCAGGACCACCCAAGGGGGCTGCCCCTGTCCCTGTGAGACCCCCAGATCCATCTGGGACCACCCAGGGGTGCTGCCCCCATTCCCTGTGAGACCCCTGACTCAATCCAAGGGGCACCCAGGGGTGCTGCCCCCCACCCTGCCCCCCCCCCCCCCCAGCACCCACTCACCCAGCCAGGGCTTGAGGAAACCGTAGGAAAACCCGTCCTTGGGGGCAACGAAGGCTGTAGAGAGGGGGGTGGGGTGGGCAGGGGGCCACCAGCGTGGGCTGGGAACCACCAGGATGGACTGGGAACCACCAGGATGGGCTGGGAACCACCAGGATGGGCTGGGGGCCACCAAGGTGTCATCGTGTCCCCTCGGGTGGGACCCCCTGTCTGCACCCACTGCCCAGAGGGGGCCCTTGGGGTGGGGGACCCTCTGTCAGCACCCACGGCCACCATGGGGTGGGGGTTGGGCTACAACCATGGGCTGGCCATGGGTGACACCTGTGGGTGGCCCTGGGGCACCCTCAAGGACAGGTTGGTGACCACCATGAGGTGGCATTTGGCCTGGCCATGGGTGACACCTCAGGGTGGCCCTGGGGACCCTTGGGGACACTTTGGTGGCCACCACGGGGTGGGTGCCTGGGCACTGCCAGGTGACTGTGCCAGCCACAGTGACACCCGCAGGTGGCCCCGGGGACTCAAGTGGTGGCCCTGGGGACACGTCTGGTGGCCCTGGGGACGTGTCTGGTGGCCCCCTGTCCTACCTGAGGCGCTGAGGAGGGGTCGGAGGGTGCTGGGGTGGAAGAGGCGCAGCACGGGCAGCCAGGGCAGCCCCCACCACAGGCAGCCCGGGCTGTACCGGGCCACCAGTGCGTCCACGGCCTGCAGGTCCTTCTCCGTGCTCCCAGCCTGGGGACACAGGGGACACCAGTCATCCCAGCTCAGGGACACCTGTGATCCCAGCCTGGTGACACAGGGGACACCAGTCATGCCAGGTTAGGGACACCTGTCATCCCAGCCTGGGGACACCTGGGACACCAGTCATGCCAGTTTGGGGACACCTGTGATCCCAGCCTGGGGACACCTGGGACACCAGTCATGCCAGCTTAGGGACACCAGTCATGCCAGCTTAGGGACACCTGTCATCCCAGTTTGGGGACACCGGGGACACCTGTGATCCCAGCCTGGGGACACCCGGGGATACCGGTCATCCCAGCTTGGGGACACCTGTGATCCCAGTTTGGGGACACCCAGGGACACCGGTCATCTCAGCTCGGGGACACCAGGGACACCAGGGACACCAGTCATGGCAGCTCAGGGACACCAGGGACACTGATCATCCCAGCGTGGCGACACCAGGGACACTGGGGACACCGGTCATGCCAGCCTGGGGACACTGAAGACACCTGTCATCCCAGTTTGGGGATACCGGGGACACCTGTGATCCCAGCCTGGGGACACCGGGGACACCTGTCATCCCAGTTTGGGGACACCGGGGACACCTGTGATCCCAGCCTGGGGACACCCGGGGATACCGGTCATCCCAGCTTGGGGACACCTGTGATCCCAGTTTGGGGACATCGGGGGGATATGTGTGACCTCGAGGGCACTGCCAGGCGTGGGACACAGGTGTTCCCAGCTTGGGGACAGCCGTGGGGACACGCGTGTCCTCAGCGTGCCTTAGGGGACACCCGTATCCCCAGGTGCCACCGCCCCGTCCCCTCTGTCCCCCCGCAGGTGCCACCACCCTGTCCCTGCCCTTTCCCCAGCCCTGTTCCTGCTGCCACCACCAGGTGCCACCACCAGGTGCCACCACTGTCCCTGTCCACCCCCCAGACATCACTGCCTTGTCCCCCAGCGTCTCCCCCGAGGTGCCACCACCCTGTCCCCGCTGTCCCGTCCCTGCCCCAGGTGCCAGCCCCCTGTCCCTGCCACCTCTCCCGGGTGCCACCCCGCTGTCCCCTCACCATGCCGGTGTGTCCCAGCAGCCAGTTGCGCCACGGGGGGAGGGGGAACCTGTTCAGCTGGCGACAAGTGGCCCGGAAGCGGGCGACAGCCACCACGGCGTCCCAAAGCCAGCGCAGCAGCAGGGACAGTGTCAGGGTGCCCAGGGCCACCGCGCCCAGGGGACCCAGCGCCGCGGCCACCGCCATGGCAGCACCGCTGGCCGCAGGGCAAGGGTCGGGCCGTGGGCGGTGTCACCCGTGGGGTCACATGTCCCCGGGGTGGGTGTCACCGTCCTGGTGGCTTTGTGGCAATGTGTGTCCCGGTGGCGGCGTCCCCTGCTGTAGGTGCTGGTGGCGTTGTCGCCTGACGTGTGTCCCGGTGGCACCTGTCCCCCGTACGGGGCGGCATTGTCCCCTGACGAATGTCCTGGTGGCAGCGTCCCCTCGCGTGTCCTGATGGCGCTGTCGCCCCGAGCGTGGTGGCATCGTCCCCTGGCGTGTGTCCCTGTGGGCATCATCGCTGCCACGCGTGTCCTGGTGGCATCGTCCTTCCACGCCTGTGCTGGTGCCATCGTCCCCTGGTGGCTTCGTCCCCTGACACGTGTCCAGGTGGCTTCATGCAGTGACATGCGTGTTCCTGTCACAGGAATTGTCACCCCGGAAGCACCCCTATCACACACTCATGTCCCCTGCCCCCCCCCCCCCCCCGTGTGTCCCCGTGTCCCTCCCGTGTGTCACTGTCCCCCCCTCGGGTGTCGCTGCCCCCCC